GGAGCGCGACCTTCCGCAGCCTGGCCTGGGCGGGGGTGGAGAGAAAAGCCCGCAGGAGGTTGCGCTGAAGGGTACGTAGGAAGAGCTTTTAATGAAGTGTCACTCTTCGCTTCCGTCAGATCATGAGGTCGCCCTGCTGATTTTTCTTCCCCAGAGCCGGTGTCGTGTCACAGCAAAGAGCTCCAGCCTCGTCTCTGGACGTCTGGGGACCTCCCCTCTGTGTCACAGGGTGCGGAGGAGAGCAGAAACACCGTCTCCCGCGACGGTTTAACGATAGTTTTTCATGTCTGAGACAAAGCCGGTGCCTCCAGACCCGCTGTGCCGCAGCCCCTCGGCAGGGCCCCGGCCCGCCCCGAGGAGCAGAGCGCACGGGCCTCCGGGCAGCATCCAGCCCCACGCAGCAGCCGGTGCCGGGTCCCCGGGAACGGCGCCCTGGGGTCTGGCGGGTGTGCTCGGCGGTGAGAGCCTTTGGAAGTCTTACTTACAGGCCTCAAGCTGTGGAAGCGTCTACGGGGGTCACTTCAGCTGGACTGACCCTTCCGGGTATCTCCGGTGCAGCCGTGGTGGCGTGGAGCGAGTGTTCCAGTTGTGACTGAGGGAGCTCTTGGACGCCTTGGGGACTAACAAGCAAGTTACATGTCACAAGAGTGGGAAATCTGACAGCACAGCACCTCTCTAAGGAAATGAACCTCTATAAACCAAAGCTGCTTTTCTGCTACATGTGAGGCTTGAACCTTGCGCTGCTTCCACATTCAGCAGTGTTTTCTGACTGAGAAGTCAAAGGCAGAAAAAAAAATAAATAGGTCACTTTGTGGGCATTGAGGAGAAAAGAAAAATGAAGATTAACAAATAAGGAAAAGGCCAATGGCAGAAGCTTCAGTTGAGCAAAGGACTGTAAGCTACGTGAGGGCTAGTGGTGAGAAAAATACAGATACAGCGAGTGCTTGAGGTCACTGTGGCAGAAAAAGCAGGCACTGTCATCAAACCCTTGCTTTAATGTGGATAGCATAAGAAGGCTACCTTTTGGTGCTAAAGCTGCCTGTGGTTGCAAAAACAGGAAGACCTAGATTCTGTGAGGATATGCAGACTGTTACTTTAAGACAGGAGTTGAAATTACAAGAAAGGCTTTTGCACCAAGACATGACAAAACATGCAAACAAGTGAAGCCTTTATGGTAGGCTGATCAGATCTGTCGTAATGAATGCCACCCTCAAGATTTCCTAAACCTAAGACAGAACATCTACATAAACAAAGAACACATCCCTACCCTTCATGTTACACATCTATTTGTTTTAGATGTTTGTTTCCTCTTTGAGGTTTAAGGAACTGTCCATGCAGCTCTCCCAGGATCGTCAGAAGAAAGCCAGCAACATTCAGCTAGAGTAAATAGCTGTTCTGTTGAGCTATAGTAATGAATGCAAAATAAACCAGAAACAGCAGAACCAATTTGGCTCATGAATTTTAAGACTAACTCTCAGATAAAAATTCAGTCTTATAGCATCTGTAAAGATTCAACACTATATCAGCTATGCCAAATTTCCTCACATGTATGTTGATTTACCATTCTTTAGTTAGTACAACTAACAACTTCTATTGACAAGATTAGCCTCATGTATAACATACATGCCCCTGCCAAGCAGCTATTAACACATTGTACAAGACCAGTTATTTGCAGTCTCCATGTCAGAGAAAGGCCTCCCACCTATATAAACAAAAGGTGAATAGAAATCTTGTAAAAATGAATTGCAGTCATAATACAAGTGATCCTCTTTCCCCCTGTCCTGTCCCCTTCACCCCATTCAGCATTTTATTTACTACAAACTATATCCCTAAAAAGTCAACCGTTGTCTGCAGAAGTCAGGATTTAATGCACCCATACATAGGAACGGAGCTTCAGGCAGTGCTAGATACTCCTCTAAGTCACACAGGCACTGCTCTAACACCAGCAAGACACCACAAAAGGTATCAGGTTATTTGGATTAGCAGGAACTGAACTTAACTGAAATACCACTTTGCAGACTTTTCCCATCCTTTGAAAGCTAAGAAAAATAAATGAGAAAATACTGACAATAACAAGAGCAAACATGGATACAATTTTTACAGCAATCTGTAGAAATAGGTGTGTTCTAAGTGGGTAGAGTAATAAACTATAATAACCTAAAGGATATTTATCTAACACACTTAAATGACCCCCGCCATTGCATTAACTCATTTTACCACTGCTATCCTACACTACATTTTCCAACAAGTTAGCTTACACAGTGTTGATTATGCTGACAGATGAAGATGACATGTACAGCTTGAAATGTACAGCAGTAGCTAGTTACCACATGAAGCATAATCAGTTTAACTGTACCTCATTTCATAGTTTCATGTACAGTTTCATTTCCTAACTTTGACTTTATCTTGTACCTCCTACCTGCCATCGTTACTTCCTTACATACTTCTAAAAATCAGAAAAAAAAAGATTGTTCCAAGTATAACCTTTTAACATACTACATTTAAGTATTTAAAGTCATCTAGATACCAAACCATCAAAAGCTGGCATTTATCTTACACTTAGGTAGACTATTTTTAGCACCTCTTTGATCTATCCAGCTGCTTCTAATTGTTAGGTGCTTCACTCATCCAGGCACCCCAAATTCCTCTCTGGTTCAAAGCTCAATATTTATGCTGACCTGCTGGGAAGTGGGCCACTGATGAGAAAAGTTACAAGGCTGCATTCAAGTAAATGGCTTATGTATACATTGCCATTTTGATAAATATTTTGCCTGGGATGTGCATTTGCAATAGTACCAGAGATTTGAGAACCCTTACCCAGATGTCTGAACTTAGAAACTTACTTCTGTGAAGACCTTGTCAAAATTATACAAAGCAGGAAATAAAACTAAGCTTGGAGTCAAGTTACACAGAAAGTCACCATTCAAAATTTTGAACAGTCAAAATCTGTGATCAAAGACCATTAAGACTGTACAGGACTGTGAATAATAAATCTAAATAATCCAGCATTTTCATATGACAGTATTGAACTTCTTGAAGCTCAAGAAAGAAGCATTTACACTGTCTTTATCTCTGGACTACAGCATTCAATAGAGAAGACTAAACCATGCAAAGGGAACTAGTGTATTACGCTACGGGTTACTATCTCTATTAGCAGCATGATGAGAAAACAAACTCCTGAAGTGCAACAGCTGAGGCTCAGCTCCATAGATTAGTGCTAGGCAATATTCCTAAGAGGTCTGGGCCAGCATTTGGTACCTGCAATGCAGGACCATTGGAGAACAATTTTATGCTAGAGAAAGAAACAACTAGAAGCAGAGGTGTCTTAAAACTGCTGCATCCAGACTGTTTGTGGCACCAGGTTTGGCTTTCAAGCCCTCCACAGTCATTTTAAATGGTTAATATCCACTCTATTTCAAATAGTTGTTTCCTTGGAGTAAACACTATAGAAGCCATTAAAATGAACATGGGTCTGTAGGCTTCTTTAAGTACCATACACAACTTCCACTTGCAATCTTTAACGTACTCTTTCCAACCACTTCTACCTCCATCTCTGCCCTGCCAGATGTACACCATTCTCCACGTGCATGTTAAAAACCACTACACAAACCATACATTACCAGGTTGGAAAATTCACAGGCCTGTACTGTCCCAAGATCTGGGCTGATCACTGAGCAGATTCCCATTTCCCTTTGTGTTCTGATTGGTTCCCTTTATCAGGGAGTGTATCACCTGAACAATACATGATGCTCATAAATTACACAGGTATGAGCACTAACTACAAAGTCTGGTTTCTAGTGCATGTAGCAAACTATTTAAATAAATGATCTTAAAGTTGCCAGTGTTTTCAAGATGGCTAGAACCCACTCTCAGGAGTGGATGGCTGAATGTCTAAGGTTCAAATACTGGTGAAAGCTTTCTCTTGAGTAGCTGTGCTTTTCTGGAGTCTCAGACTGATGACCAAAAAGCTATTCCTCTCCTTCACACACAGGCATGCTTCTCTCTTCAGCAGTTATTTATTTGTAAAGAATCTTTACTACTACTATGACTTTTTCAAGACTTATTTAACTAGGAGGTCCCAAATTTACCAGAGCAGGTAGTTCATCAGCTAGAAGGAAAGAAAGGGGTGGGCGTAAGAGAGAGACAGGAGTTCTGTTTTAATTTCCTTGCTAATCCTGGGTTTTGGATATACTTCAATGGATGTAGCCTATTTAAATCCAAATATCCACAGACATGGAACATCAGGAGCAGGCAGCTTTACACAGGTGCTGTGCAACAATCATATACCAAACATAACAGGATAACTATAAACAAGGCAGGAGTATTTTCAGAGTGGTTCCCCAAAAGACAAGATCAATTTCTATCAACAACAAAGACAATGTTTTATTGAACAAATCTATGTACAGTACAAAAAAGTTTTAAAATGAAACACTACTATTGATTTATTGCAGTTTGATGGCTCAGTTTTAATTTGTACTCTTATATAAAATGCAAAGTAAAATAATTTAACATTCAACAAGGAAGCACAAATTTCCTTTCTTGCTGAACCTGTAACAGCTTTTACAAATTAAGAGTCCCAAAATGCATACACTGCATTTAATCAGAAAGGTGTTATACAGTACCAAATAAATTAAGAAAATAGTAACACTACCACCCCCTTTGAGTCTTTTGTCCGTAGCATCGGTGTTAAACAATAAAAGAAATGAGTACAGCCAAACCTTCAATGTGATATTAAAATCACAAAGTTTAATGTTATAAATTATCCAAACTATACAATTTATATAGTTTAATGAATATGGCTAAATAACCAAAGTACCAGTGACCTTTCCCCACAGATATGACCACTTCCAGCATGTCTTTTTTTGTTGTGCAAGGTGCCTACCAAGCGGCAACTCTTGGAAAATTAGAGCTTACATGACCTTTACAGTGAACTGTGATAGGGTTAGAGTAGACAGTTGTAAAAGGAAAGTCTAAAATCAAGTTACGACCTTGAGAAATGTTATTAGGATGCGATTATCAGCAATGAAATGCACAAACTTTGATCCAACAAAGCTCCTAAGCTCATGTATAACTTCAGACAGCTTTAAGATACTTGCATGCTTGTATTACACATGTACTTCAGTATTTATTGAATCAAAGTGGCAGATCTTGAAGAAGACATACTTCCAATTATATCATACAATGCTTAATGCCTGGGGAAAATAATAATAAAAAAACCCAACCATAAAACAAGCTTTCAATTCTAGATTTGGAGCCTCTTCCAGCTTAGTATAGGGTAACACTCAACATACTGAAGAATGTAGATTTATCCCCTACAAATTACAAGTATCTTTTTACTCCTAATTACAGTCAATTAATACTGCAACTATCTGAAAATACCCAGAGGTATCAGAGTGTAGTTTAAAGAAAATGCAATGTCTTCTCAAGAGAAAATAATTACTTAAATCAAAAATGTTACCACCCGCTTGCTACTTTGAGTTTAGCATATTTGTGATATGTGGTTAGGTAATGCTAATGTTCACCTAGGTAAGAATTCTGTTTTCCAGTTCTCCGAAGTGTATATACTCGATGCATGGTATAAACAAATGGTGGTGTCCAAGAAAAGTATCTTTGAACAAAAATGAGTTTAATGCAGGTACAAAAAATTATGGTCACAGTTTATGCATGTACACAGATGCATTTATCTACACACTTTAAACCAAAGAAAACACAAATCTCAATAATGTTTTTAAAGCATCTTCAAACAACATGGAGCTCCAGGAAAAGGCAAAAAAGCACCAAAGATTAAAGGTACATTTAAAAGACTTTACACAAACATTTTTGTCTTATGTTTTTAGATTTTTAAAACTGTAATACTTTAACATTTTGTTTTCCATGTACATTTAAGCAAATTTAACTAGATTAGCAATGTTAAACAAAGAAAGGGGAGCCTGGGAACATTCAAGATAGTAACTGGGTCCCTTAAAGATTGGTTGGTAACTTGGAAAGCAAAAAAAAATGTGAAAGTGCATTTGGTTGATAAGGTCCCCATTAACTTTAGGTTTAAAACTTTTAATGTATTTCTATATGTAAAGATATATATATAATGTGTGTATATATGCATATATAATGAATTATGCCTTAAATCAGGTTTTTTGCAACTGCAAAAAATAACTCTTTGGTGCCTCAAATGTGAAACAAACCTCTGAAAGTGGGCCAGTCATCAGTATTAATGTAATGCACACATACCTGTGATCATAATTTTATAACCTTTGACGTTAATCCAACCCAAAAGTAAGGCAAAATGTTATAAAATTCAAAAGCATATGATGTTGAATTTGTGTTCTTTTTTACCTCTCAGGAGGCAAAAAGTTAGGAGAATTAATGCAAGTATCTGTTTAATTTCACAAAGGATTATTAGCAGAGGAATTACTGAGCTATTAATAAGTTCCTGAACTACTTACCAGCCTATTTTACAATGAAACCCTTAGGTTTGCAAGTGTGAGCCACTGCTACGATGAACAGATCTTTTAAGTACCTGTTGATTTTTTGTTCATTAGTTTTTATGTAGCTATTGAATTAAGCAAGTTGATCATTTTATTATGCCATACATGTAGTGAGATGAACTATTCAGTAAGCAAACTAGCTGAGCAGGAACAGTTGGTCTTTGCTGTCCTACATTTCTGTGATGACTCCACCTGTACACACCAGTTTTCACTATACCTTCCATGCCTACAATCACATTAAAATTTTCAGCTATGCCTATTGAGTAGGATCCCAAATAAAACATTTTTAAGTGGCAAGACAGTACAAGATAAATTAAAGGATAAATCAGCACAATAATTAGACAATGTGCATGTTTGTCACACCTCTGTGGGAAGACAAAATACCGTAACAGCATCGTTTTTGTTTCCAAATGTCCTGTACTTCAATGTTACAGCTGAATGACTCAAATCTCCTATCTTCACATTCGGATTGTTTCTATGAACAGTGAATTTTGGATAAAGTGCTTAACGCTTAAGTCTAATTCCTTCACTAACTTCTGGGGAAGGAGATCTTTTCAAGAAATAGGGCTAGATACTAGACAGGGCTGTAATGTGTCTTAAGGGTGATACATAATTTTCTTCCTTTCTCTAGACAGTAAATAAGCAGTTACAGTACTGAGTTTTGACATACCACCAGGAGGCAATATCACATACGTGATACAGGCTGTTTCTTGTAACTTTTTTTTTTTGCCCCCCAACTCAACATGTGTTCTGCTTTTTGTCTGCCTTTAAAAAGAAATTTTAAACAGGAAGTTATCTCAAAAGTTCTTTTCACTCATACCAACAGCTGAAGGACCTCTGTATTTGCATAAAATTAGTTTAACTCTGCCCAATAATGCAACGTTAACCCTCTTCTCATTCTGTATTTGTTTTAATCTGGTTCTGTTAATGTCCACACAATCCATGCATGTACTGTTTGTATTAGTCTTGCCACACCTAGAACAGATGGTTTATAGGACCTTCTTAACATACATGTTTAGCATAGCCTTGCAAAGGTCTTCTTTTGCATGCATCCGATTTCCACTAAGCATAACCTTCACAGTATCACATCATCTCACTTTTCCTTGCGTGCTCTGTACTTAAAAGTTTTGGGCTATCTGAGCATTCCATCCACCTTAGATTTCTTTCTACATTCCTCTTGCTAAACTCTTGAGTATAAATTTATTAAATGAGCTCCATGCTTTTGAACAGGTTATGGAATCATACTCAAATGTAAAAAAAATAAAATAATAAAAATGCATGGTTCCTCTACGTGTTTTTTTTCCATATTATAATAAAGTAACACATTATTGAATTATTCCTTCCCAGGTGCATGGATGGATACCCTTTAACCACACATTTTCCAACTAAAGCAGATTTCAGAATTGGCTGGGTTTATTTCCATAATCACCTTTTCTTATTCTGCCTGCTCAGCTGTATGCTTATTTGCCTTAAACTTTCATGCTAGAAAGACTGTGCTGCTAAGCTTCAATCACACATATGGAATGAATGTGGCTTTTCAGATAACTGGTACTTTGGGGATTTTGTAGCAACCTTTCTGGACTCAAGACCTGCAGAGCTCCTATTATTCCTCTGTGAGTTTTGTCTTGAAAATGTGCTTTGTCTTTATCAAGGTCATGTTTTTCTTTAGTAATTTGAGACTGCTTTATGATTAAGGCCAACTGGGAAACCAACTGATGCTTCTCCACGTAGTGTTTTCTTACACCACTCCTCATTTGATACATTTTCCCACAAGACTGAATCAGGCACCTGTAAAAGAGAATGCATTGGGATCACAATGAAGACTAACCAATGTAAACAAACCATTCTCTAATCTAGAACACTGCTTAACATTTTTCAACATATTTAGTTTCAACCATGCATACCCCCCTTCTGTTTTATGAGAAGCCTTTTCCATTACAGTTGCCTACCAATTCTTACCAACACTTTCTTATTCTAAACAGCACGTCCGATTTGAACTTCAAATTTAGCACAGTATTGTGACTTGTCTAAATTCTAGCACACTACACAATTACTTAGATATCATGTCTGCCTTATCTGTTCCATCAGGTTGCCTGTTCTTAAGGACCATTTCTGGTTGGTGTTCACCTCCAAACAAACCAACCCAGAAGGACAACAAGACTTACTTTCATCATCTGAATCGAATCCAAAGAGCGTCTGACACTTCTTTTGTGCAAGGTGAGCCTCAAGTGCTTCTGAATTACAGTAGATGGTCAAGCAGTTGCCACATCTAAATCTTTCTGTTGATTTGCTACAAAATTCATCTTGTTCAGAATGAGCATCTACTTTATCAGCCAACATTTTTCTACGTTTTGGCATGCTAATGTATCGTTCATCAAGGTAACTCGGAGGCAATGGTCTAACATATGGTTTTGTTAAGATGACACCATATGAAGTATTCTCTGTTGGTTGATTTGGTTTAGAAGGTATTTGTGAGGGAGCAGCATTATTTGGTGGTACATCATGACAATTCTGTAAAACTGGTAACACTGAACCATTTTCTGTCCTTGTTTCACCTGCCACTCTGTCCAAGGGTATTTCTGTTGACTTTGATGATGTCTGATTTAGGTCACTGTGTCCATTGACTAGTTGGTCACTAACAACATTACAGTTTTCAGAATTTGGCTGTAACGCAGGTGTCTTTTGGTCTATCACAGTTAAAACTGTAGCACTACCCTCAGATGAACTTTCATTTCCATTATGAATGACATTATTTGTTTTCTTCTCAACACTTTGAATATATGTCTTTGGTTCTGTAGAATCCTTCCTTGATTTCCAAGTTGGAATTGGTAAATCTACAGTTTCCTTTTCATTAATAGATTCATCATCATCTTGGTAACTACAAAGTTCTGAAGGATCATCTGAAGAATCTTTTTCACTTGCATCTTCTGAACATTCTAGTGTTTTATTTAAATAATGCTGAGCCTCGTGTTCATACAGCAAAGGAAGTTCCTCAAATAGCTCACAGCACTCGGCAAAATTGCATTGAGCTTTAAAAACACTATGACTTTTTGTATGCTCTGCAAGTTCAGTTGACAGCTTAAATCTCTGATTACAATTGAAGTGTAAACAAAAGTAAACATTTGGATACACATGCCTCTTCAGGTGGTCTATAAAATGTTGGGAATCAGCAAATTTTCTCTGGCAGAACCGGCATTTTCCTTTATTCCATTTCATTATATGCTGTTGCACCTTCAAATCAGTTGGATGAGATTTTCTTGCATGTTTGTTGAGAAATCTTATCTTTTTAAACACTCTAGCACAACCATTAGCAGGGCACTTAAAGCTTCCTTCCTCATCCATAGCATCCATGTCTTTTTCAGAGCAAAAAGCTCCATTCACTTTATGCAGAATAGATGACTCTTTACTGGAGCTCTCATCACCTTCAGGCAAACTTTCTGTACTTAAAGCATCAGGAACATTATTAAAACAGCTGTCACTACTATTTTCAGTAGCATCATCCTCATCACTTAGATGGTTTTCCACTGCATCAAATACTTGTTCCGCATTCTCCTCCTCCACTTGGACCACTTGGTCAACACTGGGAGCTTTTGCAGTCTCTGGCTCATTTTCTTTGGAACCATCAGAATTCCCATTTTCAAGAGACAGAGAAACGTCAGAACATTCTAGCTCGTTGACAGCAGAAGCCTTCTGACCAGCCTCAAGAACTGCAGCAAGATGTTGCCTTTCTATCTTCCTGACATGATTCTTCAAGTGCTTCAGCATAAGTCCTTTTTGCCTGAACTTTCTGGTGCAAAGTACACAGGAAAAACTGCCCTTTTTTTGGTGAGCTTGTGCATGTTTCACAATGTGACCACCAAGAAATTCCTTGTTGCATATCACACAGCGGTGCCTTGGTAAAGTTTCATCTGACACTTCAGATGCCTCGAGAGCTTCATGGTTCTTTTTGGCATTACCTTTGGACTGGGTTTCAGAGAGGTCTTCAGGTTCAAGCTCCCCGTTGCTTACATCTGTTAAACAGACACGTTCTTCACTCAGAGCACCATACTCTGTTATCTTCTCTGTATTTGCAGTGGAGTTTTCCAGTGTACTTTCACTTGAGCCAATGAAGGCTTTATCCCCCAGTAACGCTAAACAATTTTGCTTGATCATCAAGAAATTCCAAAACTCAGGATCAAAAAACAAGCCTTTTTTCAAAATTGGAAGCAGTTCAAAACGTACACGGTTTTGAACAGAACTAGTGCACTCATTGTATTCTTCATCTGCACATTTATATAAATGTTCAACAGTGTAGTAAGATTCCAAGGTGCGCTCAAGAAAAAAGACGGAGAGAGCACAAATTCTGAGGATCTCCAAGTCATTTGGCAGAAAATGAGCAATTGCTTTATAAATAAGACTTTTCATGTTGGGATCTTCACGGAGGTCCAACTGTAGGGCACATCCACATATCTCAACACATATCTGAAGACCGTCTTCACCAACCTGCAGAAAGGAAAGTAAGAATGTACATAATTGTATTTTCCTTACAGGCTTATAGCAGGCTACAGCTTGAAAGTGAAATAAAAGCACCAGACCCACAGAAGAAAAAAACCAAAACTAACTAGTATAAACAATGGACAAATATATTTATATTCACCTAATTGCAATATAGTTAGGAGTTCAGAAAGCATCCTGCTAGTAAACTTCACATAAAGACATGTAAATTTTATATAAAATACAGACAGAAAAATGTTAAAAAATAACATCTGTTTTGCACTGAAAGTTATACTGACTGCTACAATCAGCAGATCATCACATACTTTAGCACTGTGAAGTTCCATAGTTAAAGACAATTAATTATTTGGGGATATAAAAGAAAACTGCAGCAAATCCTACCTGATTTATCAGTATATTCCATCTGCCTCTTCATTACTTAGCCTATTTCACACTATAGAGAGTTAACTATGTATTTTGTCCTGGTTCTAACTCATTTCACTTGCATTGCATAAAAATACAAGCTATGTAATTCTGCACTCGATTTTTAACAATGACCATGAGGAAAACCATAGCAACCAAGGGTCAAGCATTCTAAAAGGCTTGATTTCTCAGAATTAACAAACTATCCTTCCAATGAGTAGAAATCCTATTCCACACTTCAGGATGAGGGTCCTGCCATGAACATGTAATTCAGAGGGATGATCATAACCATACTGCCCAACAGGTAGCAGATTAAGGGAAACAGATGTACAGAAAGTTTAGAAAGAATTCATATATATCTATATTTAAATGTGTGTTAACAAATACATACAAAGCTCCATAAGTAGTGGGTTATTAAAACTGCAGTAACTCAGATGCAAATACAAACAAAAGTGATTCATATAACAGAGCATTTAAGAATACATAATGAGAGAAAGACTTTTACAGCATCCAACCATTGTATTTAAAACCATACAGCAGCACCCATGACAAAATCATGTATAATTAATTTAGGGCATAGATTATGAAGGAACTCTGGTCAGTCAGGTTAATGATAAAAAACAGCATTTGTTTGGAAACAGCTCAGATTCCTGCGTGCAAAGCATTGCAAGTTACATCTTTGGCAGATATTTGTACAAGGCAGTATAAGATTTAATCTTATACATCTTATACACAAATTGCACACTTTTCTGAAGTGAAATTATGTCCTCTCTATCTCAACCAAACTTCCCTTTATGTTACATAAAGCAGTGCTGATGACACTAAGCTGGGAGGAGTGGCTGACACACCAGAAGGCTGTGCTGCCATTCAGAGAGACTTAGATAGGCTGGAGAGCTGGGCAGGGAGAAACATGATGAAATTCAACAAGGGGAAGTGCAGAGTTTTGCATTTGGGGAAGAACAACACCATGTACCAGTACAGGTTGGGGGCTGACCTGCTGGAGAGCAGTGTAGGTGAAAGAGACCTGGGGGTCCTGGTAGACAAGAGGATGACCATGAGCCAGCAATGTGCCCTTGTGGCCAAGAAGGCCAATGGCATCCTGGGGTGCATTAGAAAGGGTGTGGTTAGTAGGTCAAGAGAGGTTCTCCTCCCCCTCTATTCTGCCTTGGTGAAGCCGCATCTGGAGTATTGTGTCCAGTTCTGGGCCCCTCAGTTCAGGAAGGACAGGGAACTGCTTGAAAGAGTCCAGCGCAGAGCTACAAAGATGATTAAGGGAGTGGAACATCTCCCTTATGAGGAAAGGCTGAGGGAGCTGGGTCTCTTTAGCTTGGAGAAAAGGAGACTGAGGGGTGACCTCATCAATGTTTACAAATATGTAAGGGGTGAGTGTCAGGGAGATGGAGTTAGGCTTTTCTCAGTCATGACCAGTGATAGGACAAGGGGCAATGGATGCAAACTGGAACATAGGAGGTTCAAGGTGAATATCCAAAAAAATTTTTTTACTGTCAGAGTGACAGAGCACTGGAACAGACTGCCCAGGGAGGTTGTGGAGTCTCCTTCACTGGAGACATTCAAAACCCACCTGGATGAGTTCCTGTGTGATGTACTCTAGGTGACCCTGCTCTGGCAGGGTGGGTTGGACTAGATGATCTTTCGAGGTCCCTTCCAACTCCTAAGATTCTATGATTCTATGATTTCTGGTGAAAGGACTTGGGACTTAAAAAGGGTGAAAGGTAGATACAATGGCATTACACAGTCCTATTTCCTTAAGGGCCCAGGCTGGAAAAAACCTCAACAACCAATTCATCTTTTACATTTACTCCATGTATTTGTTATTAATTTCTCCATTTATTTATAAAGGATGACATTCCTCAAACTTACCACAAAGATAAACTCAGAAATCAGTTAAAGAAAATAAAAATCTTAAAACCACACAACAAATCACGAGCAATCAAAATATTGAAGTACATTCTGGAACGTGAGAAAATTTTTAAGATCAGGCCATATCCTTCCCTACCCCCTCTTAACTTTCCACAAAAAGTGGCCATTGCACAATACAAAGATCACTTTTTTTCCCCAGAACTGATTAGAGAAAGAATGGAGATTAGGGTGAAGCAAACAAAGCAAACTTACTTCATCCTTAATGACTTTCATGAAAGGGAAAATTACTCTGACATTTGTAGCAATTCTTAGAAGCTGGTAGCACTGGTCAACAAATACTTGTTTAGATGGGTTGGATTTAAGCTGCAGCTTACTCCAAATGAAGATCAGGTCCCTAAAAGTACAGAACAAAAATTTAAATTAGACTGAGTCTTAGAACTCTACCACTAAGCATGATGCACTACTAAGAAAAAACTATTTGCATATTCTGTAACTAAAATAATATCTGAGGATGTAATACCAGTCTAATTAAAACCACAACTGTGTGCAATGGAAAACGGAACTTAATTACTTTGTTAAAGCATTCAGGGTATCTCGTATCACTGAACCAATTAAATATTCAACAGAATATTAATGTATTCACCTTAGTATCAGAGACCTACATAATAAAATCAGATGCTGCAGTATCTAGCCCTTAACACTATATGCAACAAAAGTCAGGCTAAACAGCAAGCTCTGTGTGCTCTTGGGATTAAGTTACTTGCAGTACAAGGATGAGGAGTCCTTTGGGAAAAGCAGCATTTGAATACAGAAAATGGGAGCACTGTAGAAAGCTAGCTTCTGATGTAGTTCACTGGCAGAAAATACCAATGTTCTGCAATTATGCATATTACAACACTTTATTTTTACTGTCATCACTGGTCTTTCTAGCCAGTAGCAGTTACATGAAAGTATCAGGCTCTATAGCTATCCATACCCCCCTCTGACCTTCAGTCAAATAACATTTCTGACTGTCACAAGGAAACATAAGAATAGACTGCTAGACTCTGCAGCAGAGCTCCTACACAGATAATGTGTTTAGTCTAGAAAATATAGCTAATTAAAATTTATCGCCTGTGAGTTCTATGCACTTTGATTCAGAGACTCAGAAACACAACTGGTCTTTAATTTGGTAATAGAGAAAATTTTCCAGCACAAAGATTTTACACAGGAAGTAGATACAGTTACACTTACGCAGAAATCCCACCATAACATAAGGGGACCAATCAACTTTCATTTTCTAAAGGAAAATACTTCTTGATTCCACCAGCCTTCTCCCTCAGAAAACACAAACCCAGTTACTGACAAAATATTTTGCTGATCTTCCAGAGCCTCTAGTCTGTGCCACATAAAAATCAGGCAAACCTTTTGAGACTAAAACTTATCTAGTGAGGTCAGTGCCTGCATGAACAAAGTGACAGAAAAGCCTATGACAGAATAGCAACTTCATTTTTAAGCTTAGGAGAGTTCTACAATTCTGCTTGACCTTAAGAGCTAGACAAGAACTTGATTCTTCTCTTTCATTCAGAACCCAAGAAAACTGAAGCCAAAACAAAGATCAAGCTTATATGGGGAAAACTATGGAAAGGAAGTTCTATAAGCAGCTCTACCCACAGAATATTAGTCTTAGAAGTTGCCAAAGGTACAAGCTGTTCACCTCTGCCTTTACCAGGCTGGAAACCTAAACTCTTGAACTCTTTGCAAATTTCACATACATGTTTGAAACTACCGTCTTCCTGCACCAAACAATTAATAAAAATTCAGTAAGTCTCAACCTGAAGCACAAAAGACATAACATTTTTGCTGTTAAATGTTACTGCAGTTAAATAATACAACTTATTTTGTCCTGTGTCTTATACAATTTCAGAGCAAGCCATTTTAACATCAATCCCAGAGAATTTGAGAAAACTCAGACTATTCTTCTGAGAGATTAGTGGTTAAAGTGGCTTCCCATGTATTTAGGAAAGTTTGACAACTGGCACGAGGGAAGAGCTGAAATAGGAATGGAGAAAACTGAAAGCAAGAAACAGCTCCATGGGTGAAGAGCAAGCTGTTAAACCAGTTTAACCACCTTTTGACTACACCTTGATGTGAAATAGTGTTTCAGTCTTATTCCTCCATGTAGACATGAAGGCTTCTCCTTCTCAAGGACATTTCTGACTTTGATAATCTTTAAGGATTAAGGCATTCTTGAAGAGCTGATTGGACTCTATTTCAACCACGTAAATGCTCTGCATACCAACTTTAATGCTGAATTGAAATATTTCTGTGTCACCGACCACAGCACAAACTTGAGATAATGTAGGCAGGGGTAATTTACTATTTACTTTATTATTATGGCATAGTATAGTACTGAATGACATTTACTTCTTGGATAGTATAACTTAGTTCACACCAAGGCCTGTGCTTACATGCGGGGCATTTCACAGCATCACAGTATCATTCTGGTTGGAAAAGACCTTCAAGATCATCGAGTCCAACCACTACCTTAACCCTGCCACATCCACTACTAGACCCTGTGCCCTGGCACCACATCTGTCTTTTTAGATGTCTCCAGGGATGGATTTTAAATTGCTACTGTGATATCACAGAACTCAGTACCTGTTTAGCAGAAGCAACCAGATGTTCCATTCTGTTAACACCCTGGAAAGTACCAAAATCATTGCCTGCCTCCACCAGCAACACAAGACAATAGTTAAGCCTGCCGTACCTTAGCTAGATCTAAAACCTTTGATATTGGTGATAAAAAGAAAGTCTATCTTTCAATAAGTATGGATAGCTCACTTTACAAAAATGTTATTCAATTCACAGAAATTACCTAAAGGCCAAAGGCTCATCAAATGTGTGGGAAGAATTCCTTAACTGAATTTGCTGTATAGGAACCACCTAAAAATTGCCAAAACAGCATTAAAAAAATTTCATGCAGAGAACGTAAGCTATTCTGCTACATCTGTTCCATCAATTTTTTTCCTGTTTTCCTGAAAAGACATCACTTGTTGATACCTTTGATACTTTTTTTATATTTTGTGTCTTTAGTCACATCATTATGGATTGATCTCTTACCAAAAGGTATTTTTAGCAAGACTAACCACAGCTTGCTTTGTGATAAATTTGTAAGTGGGCATTCACAGCAGAAAAATAATTTAGATCATCAGAATTTATAATTTATTCTTAAGGTCAATGAAAACTGTAAGTTTGTGACAGAGCTGCTTAAAATTTATATTCCTGTGAGATATTATGAGAGCTAATGATTTCAGCTTGAAGATTTCATATAGGTTGCTTCACATAAAGCAGCAGCAAATGTGCTATTTACAGCTTCTAATCTATTTTGATGACTTGTGTGCTAGTTATGTTTGCTGCTAGATCTTTGCTAGACCTGCAAGGTCCTCAATTCCAAAAAAGGCAAGATGATTTATGCTGTCCTGAATGTTATAGTCTTCTCTACAGAAAAATCTACTACATTGTTTAATGTAACCTGGCTCCTCCTCCTTTAAAAATTTTAATTTTAATATGGTCATACCTTCACAAGCTTTGTTATAGTTTACATTAGCTATTAAGGATTATGCAGAATGCTGTTGTTGGGTATGCAATTGTTAAGGTTCAGTATCTGTAAGGAAACAGCTGCTCTAGCAGCACAGATACAACTGCTTTGAAATCTTTCAAAGATCCTCAAATTCTATATTCTCAACAGAAGATTGAAATACTAAGATATGCCAAAATGGCTTCCTTGACAGGCAAATACCAAACAGTACTTTTAGTCTTTTCTGGAATTTAAGTTTTGACATCCACTTTGTCAGAACATACAGACAGACATCTTGTTTTGAATAGCAATTTTTAAAATGGATTATGCAAAACTTAATGATCAGCCAGGTAAGAGCAAGTTTAACATGCTACCACAGCAAAAGATACAAAAAAGCAAGTTTAATTCCAATGTTTAAAATGCATTTTTTAAGACTGAATCCCAAAACTAACCATGTAACCGATACGCTTAAGTTACATCTGCAAATTTTCTAGTAAGCAAGAAGTCAGAAGATGCTGCATTTGGGCAGGAATCAGCAAAGTCAGATTCCACTCCAAAGCTGGTCATTGCACTCATACAAACTATGTACCTCTTCGGTTCAACTACTTCATATGACCTAAGGGGACAGTCAGGTCCACCTTTTTCTGGACAGATTGGATGAAAAAACGCCACTAGGTATGGGCAATAGATTGTGTTATCAATGTATGTCATAACAATAATAACTCCAAAGGTTTTAATTTTATGTTATCAGTTACTCACCCAATAATTAAGGAGAAAGTTTATTAATAAACCAATATTTATCATGTCTGACCTTCATTACTTCCTCAAGAAACAAAAAAGAGACACATCTTACTTTTCCATTCCCTGAAATCTAGGACTATAGAAATCCTATATAGGTCCTAAACTTCATATTAAAATTAATTATGCAGATGACTAATTTGATAATCAAATGCATACTGGCTAAGCCTTTTTGTTTCAGCTACATAATCAAACAAACAAATCAAGCATACTTTATCAAGGAATGCAGATGTTACTTTAGGTACACAAATTATACAGGCTAAACAGAAGGACTGTCTTCCTTAGACATCTTTCAGCCCTCAAAATGATGACAGTTGATAGACAACTCTTTAGAAACATCCAGCTATCAAGACTATTCAGTGTGTATGCAGACATTCTCACTTAGATGTTTTCTAGAGGACCACCATTTATGTTGTGGCTTCATTTGTTAATTAAAAGCTTCCATAATTAATACTACATTTTCAGAACCATCTTTTAGACACATTGGTGACAAACTACAGTTGTTATAAGCAGTGTCATTTCACTAGCTGGACAAAATATGTGTATTGCAAGAGAGTCTACACATTGCCTATTGTTACCCATGGCAAATAATAAATGCCATATTTATAGGTATTTACAGCCTGAAGTATGTAAAGGCTTACCCTTCTGTTACTTTGAAACAGCTAGCAAGCACTGCATACTATGTAGGCTACTGCTATAAGCAACTGTCCGTAAAAAGGCAAAAAGACATAACAGAAGTACTAGGAACGTGTAAAAATCAAGTAAGAATGTTTTATCTGGTATTTTAAACTTAAGCTACATCTCAGATGAGTTTCACTTTGACAATAAGCATTTATTATCTGCTAAGCTGCTTCACCAGAAATAAAGTATTTACCATATACAATACATGTCCCCATTTTGAAGCTGTGGGACTAGG